ACAAGTTTCCCTACACTTGAAAAACCCCAACTTCATGACTTAAAAACAACTCCAAATCTTAACAACTGAGACACCAATGGACTTAACAACTCCAAATAAAACTTTAAAACATCTCAAAGACTTAAACAATAAATTTTTCTTACCTCAATTGCTTCACAAAGAAAGAAGAAGAGAAGACGGGGAAGATCTCAAATCCTGTTGTAGACGACTTCTCACCAAGATTCACAACTCTTAAGCTTGAATCTCCAACTCAACTACTCGATCTCCACCTCAAAGAAGATTCTAGACGCATTAGGCGAAGTCAGAAGAAGAAACTTTCTTCCTTGACTCCAAAATTAACCTCTCTAAAACTTCTCTCTGTAATTCAAATAAATGAATTTATGTAGTTCAAATTCTCTAAAAACCTTATATACATTTTTCTAAGCTTGATAAACTTTGACCTCAACTTAAACAACTTGATTCTTAAGGATCTCTTAACCCCCAAAGTTCTAAAATAACCACATAAGATAATGGATAACAACACATCATATAGTCACTCAATAAAGCATTAAAGCACACAATTTTATAGTAGGGCATTATTTTTGTAAGGATCTTTGATAATATTTTCTCCGGTTAGAAATTTGTTTGAATTAATTTTATAATTTTGAATTTTTTGTAGAAACATATTAAAATTTTATTCCAAACTACCAATTTTTAAATCATTATTCATATTCTTGTGCATTGCATGAGTTAAAGAAATAGTATATTCTAATTGTGATTATGATAATGTCATTTTTATGCAAAAATGATAACGTTCAATTTCAACTCCTAAATTGAAATAAATGATTTAAATTAAAAGATTATAAATAAAGTTGTCACGTACTAACACTATTATAGTACTAATATAGTTGTCTCTATCATTATCATTATTTCTATCATCATTGGAATCGTAATCCCCATCATCATTATTATTGTCATCATTGTCATATTTGTCGTCGTTGTTGCTGCCATTATCAATACTTTTTTTTCTTCTCTATAATGCAATTTTTTTATTTAATAATGATTGGTATAACTTTTTTTATCAAATGTTATCTAAATTGTTTCCATTTTTTTATGCTTTGTTTGAAAAGATGTTCTATATTGCTATCTTAACAACATGGTCCAAGATGAATACTGGATTAATATATATGAGATGAAAATAATTCAATTAATAATAAGGTTAAAATTTTTATTATTTTTTTAATTTATATAAATACTTAATTATAGCAACTAAAAATATTAAAAATATTATGATCAATGTGATTTTCATGATTTAAAAATTCTAACTGAATCAATCCATCAACTCGTATATCTTAAATACAAATCTCTATTTTGTACAAGAGTATTTTTAGGAGTTTTTATTCGATGAAAGAATTTGTAATTTTTTTTAAACTTTTTATCTAATTCAATTTTTATTTATCACAATCATTTATGAATTAAACATTAATAATTTAAAATAAATTATCAATAATTAAATTCAATACTTACGTGTACTAATTTTAAATATTCAAACAATATATATATATATATAATTTATTATAAATTTTAATTAACTCTTATATATTAAATAAAAACCCTTTGAACATTTTTAAGGATTTTTTTTCAATGAGAGAATTTTTATAAATTATTTTAATTTCTTATCTAATTCATTTTCTATTTATCCTAATTATTTATGATTAAATTTTAATATTTTAAAATATATTATTAATAAATAAAATAATATCATGTTACAATATACTTTATTTATCATAAATTTTAATGTAATTTATATATTTAAAATTATCTATTTATACAAATTTTAAATATCATTTATATATTCAAATATAGTATTTATTTGTATATTTCATTTATTATAAAATTTTGTACATATAATAAATATTTAATTTGTGCATTGCACAAGTTAAAATACTAGTATATGATCCTTTATCTTGCACGAGAATGTTTTTTTAACCTTATGTAATTCAATTTGTATTTATCATAATTATTTATTAATTTAATATTAGTGCTTAAAATACATTAGCTATAAATAAAAATATTTTTAATAATATAAAATATTTATCATAAATCTAAAAT